GTCCTTTTTCGTGCAACCACCATTCTGGAGCACCATGTTGTAGGTGTACCCACTGGTACAGGTTCTATGATGCCCAATGCCACGTCTCGGTCGAGGTCCTCCTTGACTCTTTTCTTCCAATGGTGTGGGACCGGGATTGGGGTGTGGACAGCTGAGGGTTTGGCCCCTGGATGAACGTGATGTCCATGGGTTTTCCTTCCATCGCCTGCAGCCGTTGATGTGGGCATACATTGAATGCACTGGACTCAAAATGCTCCTTCATCCATCGTTCCAATCGGGGTCTGTTTTCTTCCATAGGAGCGAAAGGGATCCTGTCCGGCTTAGGTGGGACATTAGTTCTTTGTGGGCACCCACATGGTGCCTTTCCGCCGTCGCTAGTTGCCACGTTCTGCTGGGAAGTTGGGTCTGAAAGTTATCTGGCACCAGACCAAGGTCTTTTAGGGCCGACTCGGACAGGCAGAAATCTGATGTATTTTTTTTGATACATATATAATCTGACGTGTTTCCCGCGATCCTACTCTGACTTTAGCGAATATCACGCCTTTTATGTTTAGTAGGTTATCCGTGATTCCCCGAATTCGGTGACTAGTCGGTACTAGACATTTGTCTGGACACTTCAGAATTTTTTGGATTTCTGGTCCGCTAGAGCATGTCTGTGCCCCAGTGTCTGCGATCGCCTCGATCCGGTGAGTATGGAGGCCAGCTTGTCCTATGGATATGTGCCCGAATTCCGCATGGGCCTCTGGAATCAGAGTTATCTCTACCATCAGGGTTGGTGCTGGATCAGGAGTACCTCTTCGAACTTACTTTTGTTCCAAAACCAGGTGCGGCACGGCCTTTGGTTTTGTCAGGTTGATTTCACCTCTCCTTTTCACTTGTCCATCTTGGACGATCATCCGGTTACGACCCTTCTTGTGTCTTTGGGTGGTGAGAGTTCTGGATTCTGCTCCGACCACACCCGCTGTAGATTTGTTGCTGGACCCCTGCTTCGGTTTCCTGCAAACCCCTTTTAAATGTCCGGTTAAGCCGCAATTGTGACAAGTCATCTTTGCTGCTGGGCAACCCCTTCGTTCATTCGAGCCGTCAGGGTGTGAGCTCTTCCCACACCATTTACAGGGTTCAGTGTCTCTCGGGGTTGATACGGTCTGGTTCTCCCGAGGCCGCTGCCTGCGGCCCGATCTCTGTGTGCTCGTTGTAGTAGGGTATACGTTACTATGGAGATGGGGTGTAGACTTGTCCGTGGTCTCTAGGCTGACAAGCCTGTTGAACTTTTCTTCCAGTGTCGTAAGTGTCGCAGCCTCAGACAACACCTTGCTTTGATGCTCCAGGTTTGCCAGCCCAGCCACCATTTGTCCTGCTACCATATCGTTGGAGTAGCTGACTTTCCGACCGCATCCTATCCCGTTCGGACAAGTCACTGAAAAGTCGCAGAATTTTGCGACTGATCGAAGTCGTGCCACGAAGTCCGTAATCGATTCCCCCCTCCTTCTGCCTTACGGAGTGGAATTCTTGCCGGTACACTTCTTTGTGTAGGCTTCTGACGGCTACGAGCTTTATGTGTCGTAACAGCTCTTCCTCCGTGACGGAGTTTAGTACTTCTGCTCCTACCATATCGAACAACAGCCTGTTCACTTCTGGGGCACAGGCCGTTCTCAGCTCGTTTCTTAACGCTGTTGGCTCCGTCAACCCACACATCTCCTTGTATCTATTCCAGGAGTCAATGAATATCGCCCAGTCACCATCACTTGAGTCCGGTTCTATATTAGGTCTGTCGGGTCTCCTTGTAAGTGACTTTCTCGGCTGTCCTCCGTCTCTTCGCAGGGCGATGATCTCTTGCTGTAGCTCGATGAGCTGTCGAAGTAATGTCTGCTGTGTTTGTTCGTCCATATTCCAACGTTGTTTGTAGCAGGTTTCCTATATCGGCGACGCCATGTAAGGTAGCAGCGAGACGACGTGTATCTGCCTCGATACTCGTTGCCGTGAATGTCTTGTTTAAGTAGCCCACTCGCCTCTCATGTAAGCGGGCGAGTCTACTTCTATGGGGTGACGCCAAGACCATTCCGGTCTTGTAACTGGGCGTCTTAGGTTCGATTCCACCTCTGTAACATGAGTTAGGGGCAAATTATTTTGCTTTTTCTTTGATTAGTTTTTTTGGAGACTTTGTTTTTGTTTGTAGCGTACTTTTTATACGTGAGCAATACTCGATTCTTCGATATGTTTTCAGAATCCTGCTTTACACTGACGTACCTCTGAAATTCTTCATCAATCTGCAGTAGAGATATATTCGGCTCATTCTCCAATTTGTTTAGTATTCTTCGCCTAATTTCTAGATCTTTTGTTGAAACTAGTCCTTGAACCAATATCAAACATTTGAAGTTATTCGCACTTAGCTCCACCAGTCTAAAATCACCGCAGTGCTTGTTTACAATTGACGCAAAAGTGGTGTAGTCTTCCCATTCTTTCCTAGTTAGATTAAGACATTTCCATCTCTTATAGAAAAGAGATGTCTTTGGACTAAAAAGCTCCATGAGTAATTCCACTGCTTCGGTGAATGTCAGCTCGCTAGTCTTCCGGGGCAGAATGTAGCTTACAAATTTTGTATGCTCACTTGTGCCAAGTTTCCTCAGAGTCACTCCAATTTGGACAATCTGTAGTATATAAGTCCTCATATCTCCTAAAGTATTATGTCTTCTTGGTTTTATCTTCCTTGGGAGTGTATAAAAATTCTCTATCGCTCTCCAAATGGTGTTTTGCGAAAAAGAAAATTCGTTTTCAATGGAATTACTACGGCTTATCTGTTCTAATACTTGTTTTTGAAATTCGAGCTGTCTCTCTTGATTTTCCTTCTGGGTTTTCAGAAATAAATTTTCCATTTTTTCCTGTTGAGAGAGCAATTGTTTTGCCACTTCTCTTCCATTCTTACTTGGAGCTGTAATTTCTATGCCTTCTGGTACTTTACAAGGTCTAATACTTTTGAAATCCTCCATGATAAGTGTATCTTTTTTTTTTCGGTTTTATTTTTCTGGTTTTTTCCAGATGCTTTTCAAATGAAAAACTATGGCGAAAAATAAAAAATTTCTCGTAAATCCATTGTTAAAGCAAATTGGCAATTACACGTAGTTCTTTTACGGAAACTTGTTTGCCCGTGTTTTAGGAGAGTTCCTTTTTAATCTGGGTCGTCGCAAATCCTCGTCGCCAAGTTGTTGTGGCCTGTTAAGGGCCCGAAAGAAAGGCATGGAAAGAAGAAGATAGGTTGAACAAGTGTATTGAAATAACAGAACATATATACAAAATAAGAGTGTTATTAGTCAGCAAATAGAAGTGTCCATCCGATCTGTCAGGTTACACTGCGTTCCGACTGCCGATATTTAACAGTGCCCACACGAGCAATGTATGTGGAACAAGGCCGAGTTTAACGGGGGTTTCTCCGAGTCCCTAGGCTCGGCCAAAAATATTCCCTTAGAGCCCGCATAACTGGGTTCGGGATCTGTCTACCTCCCCGGACGAAACTTTGCCCTTCGGCAAAGCTTCGTCCGGGTTTCTCTCTGCCAAAGCGGAGAGTTCGACAGAAGTCGCACACAGTCAGAGACTGCGTGTCGACTGTCTGCCGCCAGAAGTCTCGCAGGTTAGTATTTATGAAGGAGGAAGAGTTCATTCTAAAGTAGATAGGTCACAATAACATTATCTTGATCATAAATCGTAAGAATACATTTATTCTGCGTCTTCTTGGTAAGACGAAAAGACAATATTGTTAAAAAGAACGTTTTACTCTGTCTTGTGGGGGTGACACCAGATAAACCCAACAAGGGAGACAAAGGTCAAAGAGGATACAGTCGATATTAATACAGAACTCGCTTCTATTTTCACAGTTTTTTTTTTTTGTTGTTTTTTTTTTTTTTTTTGTTTGTTTGTTTGCTCTGGTTGCATTATTTGTCAGTAAAGAAGCAGGTTCTTAGTCTTTGTCGACGGCGAAAACAATTTAAATACTGACGAATACTGCGTCTTACCAGGAGCAAGATTTGCATTTGTTATTGTTCTACATTTGAAAGTAAAATACTTTCATGTCAATCAAACCCCGTTTTAAATGGACACTTCACTTCAAGTAAATGATATTGTCAAACTGAAAATAGCCAACTTGCTATAGGCCATGTTTTATCAAGGATCTATCTTAAAGGAACAAAACAATTTAAGCAAAGATTTTTACTTGAATTGATTTTTTTCAGACAAGAGATTCAATTCATTGGTTTATGCGCTTAAATTCTGTCTTTGCTAAATTTTTATTGTAATATTTTACTTGTTTTATATTTTGACTTTCCTCGTTGTTGGCTTTTCAAATGTCGAAGCTTGATTTATGTATGAACCATCCATATTCTTTCATCTAAACGTCACATCCGGTGCCTTTGCTTAAGAAGACATAGAACTATCTTCACTAATTCGTAAGGTTTACAAACTATAACATTTAACTTGTACTTTTTTAGAGGCTTCCATATGCTACTATTTTAGAAGGATATTTATATTCTACGCCACAACTTCACAGAATTTTGTACACACAATTCTAAGTCATCAGTCTTTATTTCAATGAGGATTTAGTGAGGTATATGCGTAGAATGGAAATACTTTTGGATATTATTCCGATGTTTTATGGATTGTACCTTCCATGGATCTTCTCTATTGTTCGTCTTTTGTTAGTCCGTGTATTTGCAGGTCGTATAGCTGATTTGATGGGCTTCGTGCTTGCAATTATTAACGAATTTCCGTGGTTCGAAGCCTCTATCGATTATCGATAACTGCAGCAATTTTCTAATCAATACAAACACTTTGCATTTAAGATTAGAGGTTCCGCTCTGTTTTAATCCTGTGCCACTTGAAAATAAAAACGTACAAGGACGGAAGAAATTCAAATGTCACGACTAGTTTCTTATCAAAAAATAGCAAATGTTATCAAGTTAGCATTCTTTACCCCAAACAAATGTCATGTTTTCTTAAATCATGTGGCCAAGATGAAGTCATTTTTTTTTAAATTATTGTATGGTACGAATTATTTTTACGGCTTTTTTTTGCAAAGTCACACCGACGAGGATCATTATCTATGGGAGAGTATTTCCAAAGAAAACCTTCTAAACATGGAGGAACATCTTAAATGGCTCACCCCGGCTCACTCTAAATGTTATGATTGGTGTTTTCGTTATACTAACATTATGGGCTTTCTCGTAGAAAATGAAAACTAAACAAAAGTGAAAGCCTTTCCTACTAATTCGTCACCCAAATGGACGTAGATATTTTTACATGTAACGTCTTCCTGTAACGTTCTGACAATATTGACAATGTTTAGATATTTACACAATTTATCTTAGTCTGGCACGAGTCTAAATTTTCTTAGTTATGTCCCTATTCATGAAATTTGCAAATTTGCTGGGAAGAAACAAGTTTAAAATATTATTTGAAGTTGTCGGAGTTAACTCCTCCTTCAGTCCGTTAACCCTTTCACCAGGGGTCTCTCTTCCCTGGCTATAAATAGCCGCTGACTCTTTGCCTCTATCTCTTTTTCCTCCAGGCCTGTGCACTGACACCTTGAGGTAAACTCTCTTATTCCTAGAGGATTTTCAGCTATCAACCTCGAAATGTAGTCGCTAACAAGGGATAGCGTGGAAACACGCTAAGCACAATATTCACACACGCACACACACACAGAATATTCACACACGCACGCACATACAGAATATTCACACACACTTCGTCCTTTGTACTGTTTCCATGTATTGTAACTTGTTATTAATATATATTTGTGTATACATATATTATCGGTCTTGTTTTGTTTGCTTTCTTTACCTTCTACTTGATTATTTCTCTTGTTGTTGTCTTTGTTACATTTGATATTGTAAAAATTGTAGAGGGTCAGTTTTTATTTCTATTTATAACCAATACAAATTGGCTGACCCACTATAAAGTTCTAAGATGATCATTGCAAGATTTGTTCGAATAAATATTTTCAACTTGTGATTTCTAACCTTACCTTACAACATGGCGAATTTTTTTCGGCCTACCTGAGCTGTATAATTTATCCAGAACGAGGAATTATCCTGCTTTCGAGTCACTTACTAATGGAATAAATGCTACTCTTTTGAGACAGACAAAAAAATATAATTATCACAACTCTGGAAGTTCGGTTGGTGTTTAGAACCAAGTTCACTTGGTACAAAATCACAAGTGGGTTTAACCATGACGACGGAAAAACAAAAAACAAAATGTTATGTCGATTCTCGGTTTTTGTCACAAAAATGATTCCAAAAGATAGGAACAATCAATTAATAATCTCACTTTTAGAAACATATTTCCTTTCCGATGTCTTTTTTTACTTTATAAACTTTTCAGTTCTTGCTTTCTTTCTTTGATTTTTTCCTTTTAATCTTTCTTCTTTTTCTTTCTTTTTTCTTTTTCTTTCTTTAGTTTTTGATCTTTATCTCGTTTATCCTTTTTTCTTTTACTTTCTTTTTTTTTCCTTCTTTTTTCTTATTTTCTTTCTTTCGTTTTTGGTCCTTATCTCTTTCATCTTTTTTTTTTACTTTTACTTTCTTTCTTTTTTCGTTTTGATTTTTTTCTTCTGCTTCTTTCTCTCCTTTTTATTTCTTTTTTTTTATTCCTTCTTCCTTCGCAATTTCTCATTTTATTTTTATTTTAGCTTTTTATATTTTTATTTACCTTTTTCTTTTCATTTTCTTTCTTATTTCATATATGAAGTATGTCTGCACTGTAGCTAAACTTGGTTTATTGTTTTAAATATGTTAAGACTTAACTTCTAACAAGCTTCATTAAAGTTAAGCAATACTTTTTGTGGTAAGAGTGGAATGAGTGAACATTTGAAAGTTAAAAATCAAATCAATAGTAACATTTTTTTGATCACGTGTAACGCACTACAATCTTCGAAGCACACCACACACACACACACACACACACACACATATATATATATATATATATATATATATATATATATATATATATATATATGGGGGCAATCTAGCGTGATGGGCGCTCTTCAGGCCAGTTTTTAATTTAGGGCTATCCTTCTCCGACTTGTTTGAACTACCAAATCTAATTAACAAACTATGATCTGTTATTTGACCCACAGCTGAAGGAAAGTAGATATGTCTTTTTCAAGTGCATTATTGCTAAGTGAACGAAACAGATTAGGATAGAATTTGAATTTAGCGCAGTAATTTCACTTTCGCCGCCAACAACTGTTATACTATAAGGAACGCTAAATCGAATCATCGTTGAAATACGGCAGAGCAAAGGTGATATAAAATTTAAACCAGTATCGCTCTTAGAATTTAGATTTAAATGAGTTTTGCATCATTTGTATGGGCTGTGGCAAAGTTAAGAGACGCTGTATGATTTAATAAATTATTTGTCAGATCTCCTTTGTACGCATCTGAGATGGTAATTCAAAAATCATTGTCTTCTCAATTTACGGCCAACATCATCACTGGATAAGACACCAGAAGTGTTGTGAACAAAATGGCTATTTTTGTAGTGATTTTAGAACATATTTATGTTATAATTTTCGAATAAATAATTATATATATATATATATATATATATATATATATATATATATATCTGTGTTCTTGTAACTAGAGCTGCGTAACATCAATATTTCTATCCTTGTAGATTATATCATGAAAATCTAGCCGATACATTCTTCGGTCTTTTGCGAGTGTATAAATCATAAAGAAGAAGCGAGTTACTATGTTTAAGTTTTATTCGCATACGAAAATAATTTTTATCTCCGTTTACCCAACAACATGGAATGAACGAAGACGAGGTTCAGTCATTTTCGTATAAATGTCGATTCGCTTACAGAGTGAAAGTAAATAGCAGTACAGGATGAAAGCATTGTTAACTGTTAATTTAAAAAGTGAGGACGAAGGGTGACATAACCGGCAGTACTTTGAGGTAGACTGATCGTCGTTACCAGTAGGCTATTTTTCATCAATTTTAAATCTACTTTCTAGACACACCAAATCTATCGAAACATAAATATATTTCCTTTCTTCTCACAGATATATTTTTCAAAATATGTAGATAATCTATAATAATAAAAGAACTTGTTCTCTGTCCGTCACGATTCTTCTGGGTCACTTTGTGTGTGCTTATATGTCATATGTATGTGTTGTTGCGCGTGGGTGACTGGCGTTTACTTGTGTCATTTAATGTACAAACAAGTACACGTATATACACAATTTGACACAATTTGAAATATGACAAGAAAAAGAAAGAGAAATAAAAGCAAAATTGTCAACAGCTAAATATCAGTTAAACCGTCGCTTACATGCGTTAGCATGACTTTGAAATAAAAATCAAAATCAAATATAATGATAAAAACAATCAGTTTTTTCTTACTTACTCTGATGCGAGAGCTTTAGCTTAGTTATTGCAAAAATTTGAGCTAAAAAAATTTAAAACACTTTTAAAATAATTTAAAATATTTCCTTTTTAGTAAAACTTTGATTCTATATGTTATGGTCCAGGTTAAGACCAAGGAAGAACAACACGAACACAAGAGTAGAAATAACGAAGGTATATGACACGAAATAATAATACAAGATGTGGAAGGTGTTAGTATGACTGTCAGTCTGGTTTGGAATGAACTACTATCGGATCGACTCGAATCAATATTTACTTTCCCTCCCCCCACGTGGTGCAAGGCCGAGTTTTACGTGGGTTATCCGAACCCGTAGGCTCCGCCAAAAAATGCCCGTAGAACCCGTATAAACGGGATCGGGTTGGTCAACCTCCTCGAACGAGACTCTGCCCTTCGGCGGAACCTCGTCCGGGTTCCTCTCTGCACAGAGGCAGAGAGTTCGACCGTCAAGCCGAGAAGATCGGCTTGATTCGGTATCTAGACACCCACCCACGAGGGTTGCATGTGGCACAAGGCCGAGTTTAACGTGGGTTTCCCGAGCCCGTAGGCTCGGCCAAAAAAATGCCCGTAGATCAGGTTGGTCAACTTCCCCAAACGAGTCTCTGCTCTTCGGAGGAACCTCGTCCGGGTTCCTCTCTGCTCAGAGGTAGAGAGTTCGACCGTCAAGCCGAGAACCTCGTCTCGATTCGGCATCTATCCACCCCCTACACGAGGTTTGCATGTGGCACAAGGCCGAGTTTAACGTGGGTTTCCCGAGCCCGTAGGCTCGGCCAAAAAATGCGCGTAGAAACTGTAAAAACAGAAACGGGTTGGTCAACCTCCTCGAACGAGTCTCTGCCCTTTGGCGGAACCCGTCCGGGCTCCTCTCTGCTCAGAGGCAGAGAGTCGACTGCCAAGCCTAGAAGCTCGGCTTGATTCGGTATCTAGCCACCACCTCCACGAGGGTCGCATGTGGCACAAGGCCGAGTTCAATGTGGGTTTCCCGAGCTGTTAGGCTCAAACACATATGCCCGTGGAACTCATATAAACGGGATCGGGTTGGTCAACCTCCCCGAACGAGACTGCCCTTCGGAGGAGCCTCGTCCGGGTTCCTCTCTGCTCAGAGGCAGAGAGTTCAAGCTCGGCTTGATTACGCATCTAGCACCACCCCCTACCCACCCAAGAGGGTTGCATGTGACTCAAGGCCGAGTTTAACGTGGGTTTCCCGAGCCCCTAAGACTCGGCCAAAAAATGCCCGTAGAAACTGTAAAAACAGAATCGGGTTGGTCAACCTCTCCGAACGAAACTCTGCCCTTCGGAGGAGCCTCGTCCGGGTTCCTCTCTGCTCAGAGGCAGAGAGTTCGACCGTCAAGCTGTGGTCCAGTATTCAAACCCAGATGAACACTGAGATATGAAATACTAGATTTTAAAGCAGACCTTCAACACTTGAAAAATTAATGCAGCACTGTCCTTCGTCCATTCTTCTCCCTCTGTCCTTTTGCCAGACTAAGCTAAGATTACTAAATAGTCTAAGGATCTGGCACTTCTTATTTCCCATCAGTGTCAATGTTCCGAAGCCAATTAAAAGGCCAGGTTTTCAAATAATCATTTATAAATTAGGCAAGCCCTTCCTATCTAGGAGAGTGACTTAAAGATTTTCAATCGATTTACTAATATAGTGAGTTCGATTTTCTTTAAGCGATCTACTACTATTGCCTTGTGCCAGGCTAAGATATGTTTCATATAATTTGCTGATTCAGAAAATGTCTTATGCACCTTACAGATATTTAATAAAATAAAGCATTATTTAGTCGAATCAACGTCGTGTGTATCGGATTGGAAGACCAGTTCGAAAAGAGACGCATTACCTCCCCGTTTAGAAAAGAGACATAATTAACATTAGAAACATTTAAAACAAAAATAATAAAATAGAATTTGCTTATTGATTGAGTTTGAATGTGACATCAAAACAAGAAAAGTGTAGCGAAACAATGAAGATGTTAAATTGATTCAATATTATTTGAAATGATGTGATGAGTGCTTGTCATTCGTTCTCCAATGACTCGGACTGTTTTAGACCAAATCCTAAATTCTTGTTGTTCTCAGACAGCACACTGTTATCACCCACTAAGAAGTGAATGGAACCGATGTATTGTATTTTATATGTGATCCTATTCAAAAGAAAAATAGAATTTCTGATGCTTACATAGCAAGAATAGGGATACATATCTGAATATTTCAGCAGATAATGGAATGGTTATAGAATAAGAAACATTATCTTTTACGTTTTATTTACATTTCATAAATGTCTTCAATGCAGCTTTTATTTTGGATTTAACAAATACGTTATTTATTTCTCGTTTCACAATCGAAATGTCATCGTTGGCCTTTCACACCTATCTACTGCCAGTTTATTTTACACTGCTCTCAGTCCCGTAGGTGTACATTTAACGACTTTATTTTCAGGTGACAAACTTCATACTACGTCCTAACCAGCAGAGATACCATTTGCAAATGGTGGTTGACATTGTTGTCATATATCCCTGACCATTTGTCATACACACATTTCATTTAATACTCAGAGTTTGACGTAGACATCTAGTATCAAAGTTATCTAATTGCTTCTCACTGGTCATAATTTAGCACGTCTTCCAGCTATAGAGTTCGTATTATGGATAATACATACAAATTATACATCAACTTGTTTAGAAAAGAAAATGCTTGTCATTTCACACATTGCCCGACAGCCTGAATACACTTGACGCATTTTCAATGGCGTCAAGTATAGTTTATATTATTTGAAGTTTACTGCCTCCAACTTTGATAAGAATCATTAACATTCAGCATTTTACTCGGATTTTTTTTAATGATATGCAAAGTTCTTATTTCGAAATAAGTTTCTCTTCATAAAATATAATTAGCAAGGCACCTTACTGTCTTGAAACCAGTAATTTAACCACAATTTGCATAGCTTCTTATCTCGGATTCTTTCGACGATCGATAACTTCAGGGAATGAAAAAGATGGAAACAATATTGTTAGCAGAGGTTGGCGAATAGATTTGTAGACGTCGAGTGAACTTCACTTTTTGAAACATGAGAGTTGTGTACTGTTGCGTTTGGAGCGCATATCGCATTTATCAAAAATGGTTTCCATTAAGCAATGAGGTTTAATACGTTACAGTTATTGTGGTACCAGTGTCGGGATCCATCTACTCAGATTTTTGTAGCTATCTGAGTGTCGGGATTCCAAACATTTAACAACAGCACATCTTTTTAAATGAAACATAAAAAAAGTTAATTTCTAAAGGAAAAGCAGAAGAAGAATGTCAATT